GCTTATTTGCACTGATTTAACATCAAATCAATCCTACTTATATAAAACAGGATTCTATGTATTCTGCCAGTAAAAAGCATGTCTGTTATGACGCCTGTCAATAAGAGACCACGTGGAGCTGCAATGTACATGCTTTTGAACCAAAAAACTAATTTAAACTAAACAAATAAAACATCCGTCAGTCAGACATTAATTTATATGCAATTTTATTTATGCCACTTATTTGCTATGACATGCAAAGACAATTTTCTACAGTTTTAATTGCCATGATAAGATCCTAGAAAACCATGACAGCAAATACCAAATGCAACTGCCACTGGCAAAATGGAAACTTACCAGCAAAGACAAACACCACAGTGCTACAGATTCAAACACAGTTCAACACTGTTCAGGACTTTATGCATCACTAACTGTGTGTCTCCTCTCTCGTGTAGTGTGTCCTCTCTCTCTCTCCCTGTACCTTTCTGCAGGTAGCCCTGGCTCTGGAGCTGCACGTTTCTGTTCAGGATTTTGATGCTTTCCAATGACTTAAGCTAAAGAGAGTACAAAAAGTAGGCTTACTCATCATTAGATACTGGTGAACAGCCTTGAGCTTCCAACATGAACAATGCTGCCAAGTTGTTCAACAGCATACAGTAGTGTAGCCACTGTTGCACTGTCCCAGCAAAGACAAATTCTGATGTCTCCTTTTTCTCTGCTTTCAGTTGGTGTTGTAAGGCATCTAGAGAATACAAATCAAACAGGAAGTTAGTTAAATATTGGCGTCATTTGTGCTTGTCTATTTTAAGACAATAACAGATGTCTGTTTTCACTTTGTCACTTTGTTTGCCACAGTCAGAAGCCACAGCTATCTATTCCACTGCACTTTTGCTTTACTTCTAGGAAGTTGTACGCTCCAGTAAACAAAGAGACAAACTGCTGCACTGATTAAATAATCTGTTCATCAATGGCTGTTCACCAGTATCTAATGAGGAGTAAGGCTACTTTTTGTACTCTCTTTAGCTTAAGTCATTGGAAAGCATCAAATCCTCAACAGAAACGTGCAGCTCCAGAGCCAGGGCTACCTGCAGAAAGGTACAGGGAGAGAGAGAGGACACATTACAAGAGAGAGGAGACACATAATTAGTGATGTGTAATGGTGGTATATAGATACATGGAAAGAGAGGAGATGAGCTCAGAGCATCATGGGGCCCCCCAGCAGCCTAGGCCTATAGCAGCATAACTAAGGGAAGGCTCAGGGTCACCTGATCCACTCCTAACTATAAACTTTATCAAAAAGGAAAGTCTTAAACTTAATCTTAAAGGTAGAGAGGGTTTCTGTGAGCTGGTTCCATAGGAGAGGAGCTTGATAACTAAAGGCTCTGCCTCCCACCCTACTTCTGTGGACTCTAGGAACCACAAGTAAACCTGCACTAACAGGTCTACAGATGAATGGAAAGTAGTTGCTGTCACACCTGTCCCTTGTTGCAGCCATTCCCAGCTTACCCTACATAGTGTAGCAGACATATTTACAGTAGATGCAGTGTTGGAACTGGTTGCAGTTACAGCCTGAAGAAAGAACCTGTGGAATTCACAGGATGTTTGAGTCTTTAGGACTCTTAGTGGTGAATGGATGGCAGGACCACAGGGGGCTCGAAGACTACACATCTATTGTGTCAAAGCTAACATGTGACTATATTGTCATATGAGTATTGTACATCTCCATTCATTTACCAACAGAGGTGAAAATAAACACCAGGGAAGGGAAGCGCTATTGCCCTTGCAGTTTTAGAGGTGACCACCAGAGGAAGATATGTCCCAGCAAAGTCAGAAAATCCAGCTTGAGTTTGGAGCATGATTCTGGTAGCTATACTTTTGAGCAGTTTAGCAAATCCAGTATTGTTACTTATGGATCAAGCAACACAAGAACATTTTTCAAGTTGCATTTGAAGAAACAAACGTTTTACAATGTATTAGAATGTGATGAAGTCCTGATTGCAATTCATTTGACCAGGTTTACTGATCAGTTGCAAATACATGACCAACGCCAGCTCACTTGAATATTGCAAGAGCACAATTTGCCTTTGCCTTCAACAATTTTCGTTTTTTTCTTTTTCCAAAAATGTATTTGTGTGTAGCTTTAGTTTTGTTTCTTTTTTTCCAAAACCTAAATTTATCACCTAATTATGCAATACACATTCTCTTGAAGGCCATACAGTATGGTGCTAATATAAAAAGCATGCCCTAACAGATTCAAAACTGCACTTACCATTAACTGATAACCTGTTGTTGATTGTGTCCTGAGTCAACACAGCAGCATGCAAATGTGAACATGACTCATGACAATATGATTCCTAATTCCCATGTTTTGTTGTTACTTAGAGTTGTGCCTTTTTGTTAGTTGGTCCTGGTATAAATTGTTGATGTGCTCCTTTTAAAAATATATTTTTTTTAATTTAATATGACTGTCCTTGAATTTTAATTTTAATTTATTGAATGTATGTTTATATGTATGTGTGTCTGTTATTGTGCTGTTTTATTTTTATTTGCACTGATCTTGTTTACTTTATTTTAGTCATTTATTGTGATTTTATTTTGCCATGTAAAGTACTTTGGTCAGCTGGATGTTGTTTTAAAGTGCTATATAAATAAATTTGATTAGATTTGATTTGACATGAGGGAGAAAGGTACAGGTGAGTGACAAATGAATGGAAACCCTGAATAAATGTGTCTCCATCCACAAGGCATAAGAAGTCACTGAATGGTTTGATGAGGATGAAAATGATGTGAATCATATGCTGTGGCCTTCACAGTCAGCAGGTCTCAACCCAGTCGAACACCTCTGGGAGATTTTGGCCAACATGTTAGATGGTGTCTCCACCACCACCACCACCATCATCATCATCAAAACATCAACTGAGGGGATATCTTTCGGAAGCATGGTGTTCATCCCTCCAGTAGTGTTCCAAGACTTGGAGAGTCAATGCCAAGGTGCACTGAAGCTGTTGTGGTGGCCCAGCACCTCACTGAGACACTTCATATTGGGCTTTCCTTTTCATTTGTCACTATACTTTATCATTTAGCCTGCACCTTTCTACTCACTAATATTCTCACATATTTTGCAAATTCATTCCTACAACATGTATTGGTACTACTGTATTTTTGAGATGCTTTTTTCGTTATGTAGTTTTTCATTCAGTCATCTTCTATACTGCCCAGTCTCAAACGGGGTGGCGGGTTATGTAGTTTTAAACATAGTCAAATGTGAAAATGATGACTGAGAATTGAACAGGTTTACTGGGGTGTTACTTTAAATTGTTTTTATGAATATTTGTCACATCAGCTCCTGCTGCATATTTTAAAGATAATGTTAAAGCAAAATAAGATTTAAAAAGTAAAAACAATCTAAATAGAAACTCCGCTTTAAAAGATTCACATTTTCTTTAAGGTTTTCAGCTCCAGGGATGATTTTAGAAGGTCAGTGCTTTTCTCAAAGCAGCTGTGACGCACTCTAAAAATATGCTGTGGGAGATTATTCACAATTTTTGGGCCAAATAGCTGCAAAGGGGAAAAAAATCCCAAAGGTGCCCTGGAGTGGGTTTTTGACCTTTACAATGTTATAATTCCATGTTAGCTGCTAGGCTTGTCAGCCTGGAGTGGAACACTGATACCATCAGCTCAGGTTTGATTAGTTTGTATTGACTTTGCATGATATCTACAACATTTTGGCAATGGGTGTATTGCATTATCATAAGTGCTGGGTATCAGATACAACAATAAAAGAGGGTACTGATTTCCTGATCACTATCTTGGAATAAATACATGCTTGTTGAAACATACATAGGCTACTTCTGTGTAAGAGTAAAAAAAAAATTCACTTGAGATTAAAACAAAAAACTATATAATATTAATCATTTTTATCTGAATCAGCTAAGAAACATGAGTTCCCTGATTTATGAGGTTTGAAAATGTAAAACCTAAGTTCGGTAAACTTATATTACAAGCATTTATGGACAGATCGTAAGAATGGTTTGCATTGCTTTTATTATTATTGTGGGAAGAAACAACCATGAATTAATTTACAATTAATTAAAGACACACAGCCTTTCTACCATGACTGGGTTCTTCGAAATAAATAAAGAAGAATCTCTGGAGAGTTTTAACTTTCTAACAATGCATTCTGGGAAGTCTGCTAATTTTTTTTTCTTTTATTTAAACGTCACTGAATGGGTTGAGTGAATTCTCGTCAGTTCATTCATTCTAATCATCATTTCAAGCTGAAAGACCTCAAGTCAGAACGACTCACGTTTACAGATTCAAAAAGCATTTGAAAATAAAAACTAGATATTCTACACTGAATTTACTTGAAAACAACAAAACCTACGTATTTACATGGTATTTTAGTGTAGTTATGACTTTGCACAGACCCTGTTCTTTAAAAAAATCATACTTATTAAACGTTTTCAGCTGAACCTTCACGGCTTCATCATAAGTCCAGTGCCCTGTAGCCTACCTTGCCAAGTCACCTGCAGGGCATTTAAAGTGTCCATCCCCTCAGCTCCTTATTTTCTTCCCTTTTGCATATAAATCCATGCAGGACAAATGCGGCTTTGCATGTAACTCAGTGAAGGCAGCGAGCAGACAAGCCCCGAGAAGAGGTGGAGCTATAACGAGCTCATAAAACCCAAAGCTTATTCTTCAACTCACTGCCAAGGTGACGCGCTCTGTAGCTGACAAATACCTCCGACCTCCGCGGCTCACACACAGCCAGTGGGCATGAACACGGCCAGGTTCGGGAGTTTTTGGTCAAAGGTTTGTTTTCGGTTCCAGATTTCGTCTCCAAAGAAAACAAAGTCTGGTCTGAAGTAACGCGTAAAAACCCGCAGAGGACGCAGACGCGCAGAGAAGTCGGCTGCTTGTACTTGACACTTTGCTTGCTCCAGAAACTGAGGATAATTTTGACCTGCAGAATTAAATATTAAAGGCACTACAGAGGGAATATGACATCTGACCTGGGCCTCTGAGGGAGTGATCGTCGGTTTGAGCACTTGGTGTTTCTTAAGGTGACCGCACAGCCAGATTATGCAGCATCCTTTGGAGATGGGGGCGCATTACTATCCTCCGGAAATTCATCCCGATCACAGAACTCATCGCTACAGGAGTTTCATGATAGAGGAGATCCTGACTGATCACCCGGAACACAAAGCGTCGGCTCCGACCGGGGAGCTCCTCAAATTCGGGGTGCAAGCTCTGCTGTCCGCCCGGCCTTTCCATAACCAGCTGGGTAAGAGCGGCTGTGGAAAGTTACATGAGTTGCACAGTGTCCGTGTGAGTCGTTTCATGCTGTAAACATGTACTGAGGATAAATAGCTTATATAGTAGACGGGTTACTATTAGGAGCGAGTGAGTGTATTGGGCCCGATAGAACATCTGTCGACTTTAGTAGCTACTGAGTTGTAATAATTAAGCAAAAGTCAGATATAACTGACATGATCGAGTACGAAACATTTAGGATCAATTGTATTGTAAAGTAGCAGAGGTGCCTGATTTTATTTGTACTAAGGAAAATACCAAATGGCTAAGAACTAGTTTAAACGTGAGATTTTAATATTTTCAGGTATTTAAAGTGCGTGCGGAGAATTTGTAATAGGTCTACCCCTCGAGCTTCAGGATAACCAGGGTTTCCTAAGCCCTCCTTGGATAAAAAGAAAAACCATATGAATGAGTCATGTTACAACATTTACTCGTGTTCCAGTGTAAAAAAAAAATCTAACAGTGTATGTGGCAGAGGTTTGTTTACACCCTCAAAAAGCAACTTATGGTGCAGACATTTCTCTATGAATGACGGGATCCACAAAAGAACAACCGCTGAAATCAATTGTGTGTCTGATTATGAACTATTATTTCAGGTGTAGATTCACCTTTATCATTTATTTCACTTGAAAGGACTGGTAGATCTATTCACTGCTTTGATTTGTTTAAAGATGGCTCCAATCCCTGGCATCTATTTGAATTAAAGACGCCTCTAAATCTGGCTTGTTTTTTAATAAAACCCAGTGCTATAAGCTGTACAAATAGCATATGCCATAATAAGAGTAACATGATATTTATTTATTCTAAGGTCCCAGGCTTATCAAGTCAATCGGGCCCAAGTTCCTTTCTGATATCAGCCTGTGGTCATGAATGCATCATTATTTTTTTTAATCATATTCGCAGTAGTTGCGCGACCATGGGTCTGAACTCTGACCTAATCATTTGTTAGACCCCATTTCTCTGGGTGACACACATCTCGCCTCAGTGCCAGTGAAACAGACGCACCCTAACCTACTGATCCCTGCAGCCGGCTCTTTCCACGGGTGCTAAAAACAACTATGAGTCAGTTTCTAAAAGAAATTCCCCTCCGTGTGTGTGTGTCTTTGTTCTCGGTCCCTTTAGTGCTAAAAGCAGACCAGTCGAGCCTCCTCAAGTTCCCCATGTCTCCACTGTCCTGCTCGTTGGGCTCTCCGCTCGGCCCGTCGCTGCTCTCCGCCACTTCGGGCCTGCAGGTCGGCTCGGCGTCTCCCCCCCTGCCGCTGGACCTGCACCTCCGCGGGAAGCTGGAGCACGGAGCCGACGGAGGCAGCAAAATCAAGAAGGGCCGCAGGAGCCGCACCGTGTTCACCGAGCTGCAGCTCATGGGCCTGGAGAAACGCTTCGAGAAGCAGAAGTATCTTTCTACGCCTGATAGGTGCGTTTATGTCTGGTTAGAGAAGGGGAAGCAGGACTGCAGACATGCACTGTGAAAACTGTGACCAGAAATAGCTGCTATTTTTTTATTAGGGCTTTTGGTTTAAGCCTATTCAGTATAGTTACAATGATGCGTCTTGACCTTTCAAAACCTGTTGTGTGGCATTAATATTAGGTCGTAATTGGAGAGAAACACTGAAGCTTTTATTTATTAGCTATTTTGTTTGCCTGAACTAATCAAACGTAAACATAACGAGTCTAAAATTTATAGGAACAGCTAAGAAATTACACACTATTAAGTGATTAACCATTGAATGTAAATCGTCCCTGTTGCAGAGTTTCACACACAAACAAACAAACAAAATACAGAGGGCATGACCTTGTACCAGCAGCTACAACTAGGTCATATTTCCATCTAGAAAATGTTTCAACTCATAAACAGTGTCCTCTTTAAGTTTATGCTTTGAAGACTTGAATTTGTCTATTTTCTGTGCTGAAGTTTTAGGACCAACTGACAAGATTGAATTATTGCTCATACAGAGAAACTGAGGTTTTGTTGAACTGATTTAATCTTGAACTGTAAGCTTTGATTCATTTGTTCCTTACAGAATAGACCTGGCTGAGTCTTTGGGTCTCAGTCAACTGCAAGTAAAAACCTGGTACCAGAACAGAAGGATGAAGTGGAAGAAAATTGTAAGTTATTTTTCATGGTGATGATGATGAAGATTATGCCATGGGTCTGTTATATGAAGTTAATGTAGTGGTAATACAACAACTACAAGGACATCAAACAGTAGGAATTGTTTCTGCAGTGCATTGTTCCAACAGATGCAGGTGGGAAACGTAGCTGACTCAAACAGAGATACTCAGCTTTGCATCCATAAGGGCTACATTTGATTACAGATGTGTTACCTATTGCTTGTTATTTGCATAGAAGATAGTTCAACTTTTTGCTGAGCCGTATAAAATTTGCTCTGCATAGATTAAATTCATGTATATGATATAAAAAGCCTTACTCCTTTTGTCTCTGTTGCTGTGTTTCACTGTGCTGGTCACTGATTCAAGGTCAAATGATATAAGTGGTCACAGTCTGTACAGATGAACCTAAACCTGATGCTCACCCTGCAGGTGCTGCAGGGAGGAGGCCTGGAGTCGCCGACTAAACCAAAAGGCCGTCCAAAGAAGAACTCTATCCCCAGCAGCGAGCAGCTCTCTGAACAGGAGAGATCTGCTGCTGATGCCGACCGCCAGTCTGAAGGTTCCAGCTCACACTTAGAAAACACTCAGGAGGAATGACTTGGCCTGATGGTGCTCAGACTCTATACGCAGAACCTCTGTGACACTCCATGTGCATCTTTTGGATGGGACCTGTTTGATGGCCACGATTTGCTAACCCCTGGACACAGGAACATAGCTTAACCTACTCTAAGACGGCATGGAGGGGATGTTTGCTGGTGCAGCTCATGCAAAGCAAAGACTTGCAGGCCTGTGCACAGCAACATCCTCCAGCAGCTGTGTGTTTGTGTCATAGCCCTACCACACAGTCCCTTGTGACGAACTTGCTGCAGCTGAGGAGGGAAGTCAAACCTTTGCAGTAGGTCTACCCTTTATATTCTAAGGATCCACTCTCACTCATCTGTTCTGCAGTCCTTTTGTGTAACTATGCTATGTGTAATTATTAAATGTATTTTCACTAATACTGTTCTCTGTTTATTATAAATGACATAGATTTATGAAAAGCTTTTAATATTGTGTGTTAGTGAATGTGATGATGATAGTTTACAGGCTGATCGGTCACACACAGACATGTTCACACGGCTCAGGACCTAATATGGTTACATATCTTCACAATAAGTAAATGTGCTGTTGAGTCCTAATATATTTTGCTGGGTATAAAGTCATATACCACACACACACACACACAC